ACCAAGCTGCGCGCCCCACCACCACGACCATCGCCACTAGCATCGCCAAGCCACCACGGCGGTGGGGGTCTCGACGGTGACTGCTGCTCCTGCTGTTGCGACTGCTGCTGCGACTGTTGGTGTGACTGCTATTGCTGATGCTGCTCCTGAGGCTGATGCTACTGCTGATGCTGCTGCTGCTGCTACTGCTACTGAGGTTGCTGCTGCTGTTTCGAGGAACCAGCCCCGGTCCCCGCGTCTGCACCACCGTCCCCACCCTCACCTCCACCACCCCCACAACCCCCACCAACCTTCCCTCCGCCAGGCCCCCCCTTGGGGCGGCGGCCCTTACCTTGACTCTGTTGCGCTGAGGCCGCGGCGGCGATCTCAGCAGCAGGGGCTGTCTCAATGAAAGCGGCAGAAACGTCAGCTAGGGAGCATAGGCCTCGAAGTTAGGGACAGCTGTAGTACCGCTAGACTGAGCGATAGTGCGCTGGTGGGTCTCTATCGCGAACACGGCACTGACAAAGGCAGTAAGGGTGAGGACACCTGTAAGCTGACTAACGAAGTGGTCGCGGGTAGTGGCTAGACAGTCAGGAAGGCGCATGGCCTTAAGGTAAAGGGTAGCGCAATGCAGCGGCGGGAAGGCAGTGAGCTGAGCCTCAGTGCTAGTGGCGCGGTAGCTAGTCTCTAATGCGCGGAGGTGAGTGGCAAGATTAGCGACAGTGGGGAATGACGCAAGGTCAGGGGACAGCATGGGGAGGATCAGACGGCCTGGCAGAGTGTGAGGAGGGAGTGGAATAGCACGCGATGATGGCATCTAAGTATTCCTTGGCGTTTCCTATAGCGGTAAAGCGGGGACGCTCAGATAGGGGGAGGGCGTAACTAATGGCAAGCTGTGCAACGGCGTCGCGCGACTCCTAGATAGCGCAGGCAAGCTCAGCAGCAACAAAAGCCTCACGCTCAGCAGATGTGGGGGCGTCAGGGAGGGCAGCGGGCATCGCGGGGCGAGAGAGCTTACCGTGGACATGGACGGCAGGGAGTGGCCGTCCTGGCGCTGACTGGTCAACTGGCGGTGGAGGCCGATGAGCCACGCCCCAAACTCAACAGCCCAACCCTCCACGTCCAGGCGGAGCAGAGAGTCTGCCATCACCACGGCTGCAGCAGCTGACTGCCACTGACAAGGGGAGGAGGGAGTGCGGAGGAGGGCGGTGGAGAGCAGGGGGGAGCGGTGGAGTGCGGTAGAGAGCAGTGGAGAGCGGTGGAGTGCGGAGGAGTGCGGTGGAAAGCGATGGAGTGGGGTGGAGTGCAGTGGAGAGCGGTGGAGTGCGGTGGAGAGTGGTAGAGTGCAGTGGAGAGTGGTGGAGCCGGCCGGCGGGAGCGCCGGCTCAGAGGAGTAGCCAAGGCTGGCGGGTCAGCGCGGCTCGGTGGTAGGAAGGACCGGGGTAGGCTGGGACCGGCGGAGCTGCGGCCGACGAGAGAGCAGTAGGCGCAAGGCCAACAGGCGCGGGGCTGGCGAGCGCGGGGCCAGCAGGCGCACGGCTGGTGGGCGCAGGGCCAGCAGGGGCGGGGCTGACGGGCGTCGGGCTGATGGATGCAGGGTCAGCAGGCGCGGGACTAGAAGGTGCGGGGGCCAGCGGGACACGGGGCCGGCGGCGAGGGGCTGGCGAATGCGAGGCCAGCGGGCGTGGGGCTGGCAAATGAGGGGCCAGCAAGCGCGGGGCTGGCGCAATCGGGGCCAGCGGGCGCAGGGCTGGCGAAAGCAGGGCCAGCGGGCGCGGGGTTAGTGAAATCGGGGCCAGCGGGCGCAGGGCTGATGAAAGCGTGGCGAGCAGGCGCAGGGCGGGCAAAATCGGGGCCAGCAGGCGCGGGGCCAGGGAGCGCAAGGCTGGCGGGCGCGGGGCCAGCAGGCGCGGGGCAAGCGAGCTCTGGGCCAGCGGGCGCGGAGCTGACGATCGCGGGGCAAGTAGGCGTGGGGCTACAGGCGGCTAGCAACGGGCGGCTCAAAACGGTCAGCTAGAGACGGGCGGCTAGAAATGGGCGGCTAGGGCTAGGACTAAAGCGGAAGCACGGGTGGGCGGAGAGGACCTTACCTAGTGCGTGATACCATCTCAGAGTAGAATTTTTAGCTAGAATGTGTGATATATGATGGTTTTGTGTAAGGGTTTGTACTCTCTAAGAGTACGCAACTATCTAGCCTATAGTAATATATACATATATGTTTGACAGAAGGTCTTGCTGTTGCGCTATCGGGTGGATAATATTCTTCGGCTGCATCTGCTTCGACTTGAGGGGTAGCGAAACTCCGTTCGGCACTGTAGCGATCAAGTTCCCGCCTCTTGGCGTCCCTTGTCGCGTTCGAAGTCATCGAGAAAAGGTTTCTCGTAGAAGATGCAGTCTGGGGCATACAAAACCTTTCGGGTTTCGTAATCCATAATTATCCAGGAGTTAGAATCCTTGGGTAAACCAAGGTGTATTCCCCATCGAGCCCGTTCAGTTACCTACCCACGGTTGCGCTCGGAGGTCTCTATTGCACCATGCAGCCCCAAACTCGTAATAGTCGAGTGTCGACAGGGTGTTTTGTCCACATGACGTGTGGCGAGCTGAATTGAGGGAGAGCAGGTAACGAGAGACAGTTGTGCAGACGGACATCTTGCGCCATTGCAAACGGCCAAAAGTCTGCTCTCAAACTGGACTGTTGCAGCATCACGCGCATCTTCTCTTGCAGCTTTTTGTTCATCCTTTCAGCTACCGTGTTTTGCTGATGGGCATAAGACACAATCTTGCACCTCAGAATCCCTTTCTGTACTAGGAATTCATCGAAATGCTCGCTAGTGTACTCGACCGCGTTGTCTGTCTAGATCTCTTTCAGCTTGATACCGCTATGCCGCTCCCCGATTTTTAGCCATAGCTTGAAGGCGTCAAGAGCTTAAAACTTGTGAGAGACATTCTTGTGCCATACACATCGAGTAGCACCGTCGATGAAGGTTATTATATAGTGATAGTCGTTGCTGCTGATATCCTCTGCTTCCTGCGGCATGTAGACAATATCACTGAAGACAACCTCCATGTGTAAGTACTTAGCAGCACTCGGAAAGTGTGACGGGAACGGAGCGTAACTTAGGTGAGCTCCGGGGCAGATGGTGCAGAGTAGTTGGCGACTGTTGGGTCGAAGCTCTTGGCTGTTGGTTAAAAGGAGAGCGTCCTTGTCGAAAAAATAGGCTTTAATCGAGTTGTGTGGATATATATGGAGCCTAACCCTCCTGATGACATCCCTTCTTGTCCCAGTGGTTAGGAGTGGTGACTTTATGACATGATATCAGAGGCATCCGCGGTTCAATTCCTGGTGTAGACGCTATCCCAGCGGGGGGGTGTGTTGTGGCACTGGGATAACCCTATCGATACACTCTCTCTTTCTAGGGAGGGTACTGGGGAGGCTTTCCATGGGGAAGGTGGATATATGGAGCCTAACCCTCCTGATGACATCCCTTCGTGTCCCAGTGGTTAGGACTGGTGATTTTATAACATATTCCTCCTTTTCTTGTCTGCTCCCATTGACTTGATGCACCTCTTGTCTGTTCCGCTTGACTTGGTCCACCTGTATAGAAGCTTAACCCACTCTTGGCTTTGCCTCCTTTTGCGTTGTACAGATCCAAGTCGTCTTGCTCTGCCATCAGAATAGCGCAAAGAGAAGTTTCTGAGATGTTCCTTGGGGAAAGAAGAAGGGACTTGCATTGCCTTCATTCGGGTCCAAGTCTTGCCAGAAGAATAGTGACGAAGAGCTTATTGCTGAGATTTCCTCTGCGCTTGCCAAGCTGGTCCCAAAGATTTCTGCACCTGTTGATGTAGCTGCTGGCTTTTTCTCCCGGAAGCATTTGCATTGCTGTAAGTTGACTTAACAGCTTGCTCTGTGAAATGGAATCTTGTGCTTGATTCAACCTTCGCATGTAATCCCAGGCGTAGAAGGCTGGAGCGAGTGAATGTTTGAAGCACCTAACTCCCAACTGCTCTTCAGTAAGAGATTCCACACCAATTGTACAGGCCATAAGCGAATACTTGTAATAATGTGCCTGCTCTTCGGTCGATCTTGTCTCTAGATAACGGGATGTACCGTCGAAAAATCCCCAGATACCCAAAGATTGTGCAAGAAGTTTGAACTCGTATCCCCAAATATAGAAGTCGCGTCCATCAAAATAAGTTGAGGTCTTCAGCTTGGAGATAGTTAAGAAATCCGATTGATGTACGACAGCTTCTTCAGCGAATGGTCTTTCTTCTGCCATTTGATGTTGTTGCTGTTGCGGTTTTTGTTGGTGTGGTTGAATAGGTCGCCGATGGAAGGCAAAAGACCCTGCAGACTCCTCTCCAGGGGCTGAAAGCCCAGCAGCAACGATAGCTCTAGCATAACTGGAGTTGTGTCAAGGCTTATAGAAGCTCTAGGATGCGCTGGATCTTGTTGTTGCTGAGTAGACTGATTAGCCATCAAGGAAGCGAAGTCTGATAGATTGTCAGTAGATAGACCAGAAGTAGGACAATTCGTAGTTGAATTTTCTGTCTTAGTAGCTGACATAATTATAGATCTCTAACATAAGCTTAAGGGCGTAATCGAAATCAGCTTGTAGTTCTTGTAAGTTCACTTGCTTAGAATACCATGTTGAAGTGAACCACGTGTTTAGGGTGGCCAGGATCTATAATTGGTGGAACAAAGAGTAAAAAGTCAGCGGAAGACTTTACACCTTGTATTGGAGATGTTTGAAATGACAAGGATAATACTAATGAGTAATGCAGACATATTTTTAGTATAGGAAGTACATATTCAGAATGTACTTGTTCATAGTGCATCGCGACTATTCGCGTGACATGACTAGTGACTGTTCGTGTGACTGAGAGTGGCGTGACCCTACGGGCTGTTCACACATTGACTCGCTTCTGCTGACGTTATCACGCGTGTCCTTCTATATGAGGTATCGCGCTACTAGTACAGTGTTTCAGTTTAATATATGGAATGCAGAAGTGGTAGTTTCTTCGAGTATACTTCAACACCGTTCATTTCAAAGATACAACACTTAAAATAATGAAGGTTGCACAGTGATCGGGATCCTGATCTTGTGCCTATAGTTATCCTTGAAGATGATAGCCCCAGATACAAAGTTCCATCTAGGGCGTGGGACCAACCCCGTGATACTCACTAGGAACCGGAATGAGTCCCCTGGGGCTAGTGTGATCCTTGGAGGGATCACCTTTACTATCACAAGGAAAGGTGCTTTCACCTTAGCTACAAAAGTCGCCGGAATAGCGCCGACATTGGTGATTGTTCGCGCCACTGTTATTGTCCCAGCGCAGTGCGACACTGCAATGGAAGGCCGGTTGAGCTGAATGCCATCAATCGGCTCCAGTGTAGCCAGTGGAAAGATCTTGGCCGTCCGCTTCTTGTTCTGCCCGGCGAGAAAATTCTTCAAATCGGTCGCAGTGAGGTCAAAAGTGAGTCCAGGGTCGAGAACTTGCGCGGGGTTCACATGGCCAGACCCCATCATCCAAGGATCCGCCTGCAGCCCGTTCCACATGCGGATGGGCCGGTTGTACACGTTGATCGGCCTGGCCGAGGTCATGATAGCAGACATGATTCTCCCCGGCAGCCACGTGGGGTTCTGCTGAATGATCAGCGCCGCCACGCCCGCCACGTGGGCTGCGGCCATTGAGGAGCCCGACAGCCTGCGGAAGCGGTTGGTGCGCGCGCCCCCTGGGGTGGCCGCCCAGAGCATGACCCCCGGCGCGATGACGTCAGGCTTGAGCAGGTCGTTGAAGGGCTGCCCGCCCGCCGGGCGCGCCAGGGGCATGGCCACCGGGCCCGTGGACGAGGTGATGTCGATGACTGGTGGCCGCAGGGGCTGCAGGAAACGCAGCCACAGCATGGGGTTGATGCTGGGGGTGGGGAGGGTGGGGGTTAGGGGAGAGGGTGTGGGGGCAGAGGAGGAGGTGGGGAGTGAGGAGGGAGGGGAGAAATGAGGGGATGGTGGAAGGAGTGAGGGGAGTGGAGGAGGTTGCGGTCGAGAAGGTGTGAGTAGAGGATGAAGATGCATCTGCTGCGGGTGTTGGGAGGGACAGTGATTGCAGTGGAGGTGAACGTTGTCGTGGCAAAGGTGGCTCTGTCAACAGGGATGGACAGGAAGGGAGGTGGAAAGGGAGGTGGAAAGGGAGGTGGAAAGGGAGGTGGGGAGCAGGGAGGCCTCACAGGTTGATGATTCCTCCCAGTCGTATCCCCAGCAGTGTTGATGTCTGCGCATCCAACTCCATCACAGGCAATCCCCCCCCTGCTGCCATTGCTGCTGCTTCTGCCATTGCTGCTGCTGCATTTCCAGATGCAGCCGGTGGTGTGAGTGATGGTGCTGTTGATGGCGATGGTGCTCCCAGCTTCTCGCTCTCTGCCCCACCCCCCACATCGTTCTGTGCGCTTCCTCTGAGGTTGAGCCCCGGTCCCCCTCCGGTTGAGTTCGTCCCACCAGTCACCCCACCATTCTCACCGCCCAACCCATTCCCCTCCCCACTCCCCTCCTCTTCTGCCTCTTGCTCCTCTCCCCCCTCCCCCTCCTCCACCCCCTCTGTGTCAGCATACGTCAGCACGACGCCCCGTGCCCCTGCCCTAGCCGCTGCAGCAATCTTATTCTGCCGGGTTGTGCCTCCAGAGCCGCACACCAGCACCTTGCCCAGTGCCAGCAGCGGGTTAAGAGAGCCAGGCATGCACAGGGATGCCTTGGGTGGGGCGGGGAGGGAGAGGAGAGAGGGAAGGTGCTATGGAGATTGAGCAAGTAGTGTCAGATGAGGGGAGACGTGCCAACAGGGCTGGCACCAGCACCCTGCCCAGTGCCAAGGAGCTGAAACACAGAAATAGGCATGCAGAAGTGAGGGAGGGACTGAGAGATCGGAAGAGGAGGGATCAAGATCTACGAACGGGAGGAGGGCGGACGGGCATAGGGAGTAGACAAGGAAGTAAAGCCCCCGAGAGATGGTTTTAAGAGCAATGAATGGAGTGTGTGGGGTTGTGTGAGGATGTGTGGGGGTTTGTCTGTCTCTTGCTCTTGCATGCAGTGCCCCGTGTGTGGCTGTCCAACAGACAGAAGAGCAACAGCCGCCGCGTCACCTCACCAGCAGTCTGAGCGACCAGCCGACCAGCTGCTGGTGTTGCTGCTGCGGGCCCTGCACTCCAGTCAGGACAATTCTGGAAAGCGGAACAATCTCCAGCCAGCCAGCCACGGTGCACGGACAATCTCTGCGCCTCACCTTCCTCCTGCCAGCAGCAGTGCGAGCCACGGAGGCAGCTCGGACCATGGGGTGGTACTGCGCTCGCGACCAGTCCCCCACTAGATGCACGCCCTCCAGGCTGGACGCCAGGGCAGCCAGCGACGCATGGCGGCGCTTGGGGGTGATGGCGGAGGGAGATAGGGAGGAGTTGGAGGAGGGGGAGGAGGACGAGGTGGAAGCGAGGTGGTGTTTGGAGGTGGAGGTAGTGGTGGCGGCGGTGGCGGCGGTGGTGGCGGTGGTTGAGGAGTAGCCTTTGATGCGTGCGCCATCCATTGCTAGTGATCGGCTTATGGAGCTGCATTGACGTCCATGCATGATGCACGGTGGTGTGCGTGGTCGAACATGTAAGGCATCAATCCAGCACACACGTGCACACAGCACCCCACTCCCACACTCCACACACACAGGTACACACACACACACACACACACACACACACACACACACACACAAATGATAGATTTAACGGGCAGGGAAAAAAACTTAAGAATGGTTGTGCAGCAGCGGGCAGTCTAGAAGAAACAAAAGGCTGCATGCCCTACGGGAGAGAGCAGAGCGAGTGGCCGCAGTTGAGAGCAGGAGGGGAATGCATGGAAGTCGAGTTGGTCACCTGGCGCCAACAGTGAGGTAGAAGGGGGAGTAGTTCTCAAGGGTGCGCACTCCCAGCATGACACCCCTGTTGCCCGCTGGCTTCACCACCGTCAGCCCTGCCTGGGGGGTGAACGACAGGGAAGGAGGAAACACAGCGTAACACCCTTAGCCGGAGATTCTGGAACCTGAACGCCCTGGACCCTAAACCAGGAACCACGTGCTGGAAAACGTGAATACCTAAACCACACACTGGCTACTTGACTCGCTCTGTTGCTGCGCAGTGCAAAATGGAGGCAAGGGGTGGGACTGGAGGGTATGCAACAAGTAGCTTTGCAATGGTGAAGCCTGCTGCAGCCAAAAAGTGCGGCGGTGCTCAATAGCTGCTGTGCTGCTCCACTGGTCAGTTGTTCGGCCTTACATCAGCAGCAGAAGCCCATCAACTCATGCTGCAGCCAGAGCAGCACGTGCAGAGGAGCCACCATCAAGCTTGCTCACTCGCTTTACGGCTCACCCTTCCCCCCTCCCTCCCACGCGCTCCTCCCCACTTCCCCACCCCCCAGCAGCCCATCAGCTCACCTCAAACGCAGTCAGGTACGAGACATGGTCAAAGTAGGAGGCGCGCGGGCTGAACCGCCCGCTGAGCGGCACGAGCAGCACGTCGATTTTATCCTGAATGGCGAAGTCCACCGCCGCCTCCACGTCCACCACCGACGCCACGCCCCCGGGCCCGGGCGCCACCCCGCCAATGCCGGGGATTAGCTGCGTGCGCCACACCACCTTGTACACTGCTATGCGCGCACGCGGGGCCATGCCGCTCGCCATGCCCAGATGCCGCGTGAACGGCCCGCCCACCGCCTTGATGTAGCGGTTGCCCGCTGCTGCGCTGGGATGGACAGAGGAGGGGGGGGGGGGGGGGGGGGGGTGGAAGGGGGGAGGGGAGAACAGAGGGGTGGTTCAGGCACACAGCTGCTCTCACTGCCAGGGCCAGGTGGTGAAGGGGTCGCCCACTGCCTTGATGTAACAGTTCCCCCTTCTGCTCTGAGGGTGGAGGGGGGGTGGGAGAGGAGGGTTTGGAAAGGAGGGCACGAGCGGTACCAGGGGGGCGGGTGAGGAGGGGAGCAGATGGGCGGTGCTGGCACTGCTGGTGCTGATGCTTCGCTGCCGTCACTGCTGCTGCTGCTGCTGCTGCTGGCATGAAGTGATGTTTGCTACATGTATTTCCACCAATGGAAGAGTTCAGAATGGGGGGAAACCCGAAAGATTTAAGTGGCATGCATGGGGAGGGGCATGCTTGCGCAAGGTACTAAGACTGCTGGGATGGTGGGTTGGGAATGTGCGTGTGTTGAGGGGGGAAGGGGGAGGAGGAGGAGGAGGAGGAGGAGGAGGAGGAGGAGGAGGAGGAGGAGGAGGAGGAGGAGGAGGAGGAGGAGGAGGAGGAGGAGGAGGAGGAGGAGGAGGAGGAGGAGGAGGAGGAGGAGGAGGAGGAGGAGGAGGAGGAGGAGGAGGAGGAGAGGGGGCGTGAATGAGGGGAATGTGGACATCCGTTTCATGTTTTCTCCCTCTTTCTTCCCGTCCCTTTCCCTCGCTCCCTCCCAGTGTCCCATCCTCTCCAATTCCTCCTTCCTGTTAGAGCTAGATCGAGATCCGACTGCTGTATTTGAACTTTTATATCCTAGTTTAGTATAGGAACGTTTTCGTGGGTTGGGATGGGTGTTAAACACAGAAACCAAACCTCACCCAAATGTGATCTCCCAAAATCTGGAAGCATTCTATAGGAGATTTTGGAGATCTTGGATCTGGAATCCCTTGAGCTCCCTTACCTAACTAATCTATTCAGCTCCATACCTTACACTTTCCCCCCTCACCTCCCCCCCTTCTCACCCGGCACACCAGGAGCCATGGCCTAGCACGTCCCGCGGCGAGAGGTAGTCGACAGTGAGGTCGATGGCATGGCCGGTCTTCACGAGGCCCTGGTACATGTAGCGCGCGCCCAGAACCTTGGTGTTGCACGCGGGGAAGTCCTCCGTCACGTCGCAAACGCCCTGGTAGTCCACTGGCTGGCCCCCGTACAGGTCGCTGCCCTGCAGGCGGGGAGAGGGACGGTGGAAGGGGGGAGGAGTTGGGCAATGCGGGAGAGACGGAAAGGGTAAGGCGTTGCTGTGAGCTTGATTTAGAGAGAGAAACAAGAGACGACGCAAACGTCTTAGGGTTGCGGAGCCTTTATATATATATATATATGTATATATATATATTTGTAGAATGTATATGCTTAAGCTAATTATCAAGCTTCAATCTGTAAGCATTTGTTAACATCTAATAATGGTTTATATATCTAATATGTGAAATAGTCGACCAATGGTGTATGTCATGTCAGTGCATTAATAAAATTACATATAATGTCAATGCATCTAATACAGTAAGAAATAGTTACATGGTTGGCCTTCATGTACATATGTGCTTATTATATTTAGGTGTGCTTTAAGTTATTCCTTTTGAATCAGAGTTTGCACTACTGTTTCAAAATCGTGCCACGCTGTTTGAATCGGTTCTTGTTGTTGTTCGTTTCTGCTTGTACAGTGTTCTGAAACGTTTTATTCCTTATTGCTCCGCGGTAGCCCAATTATCGTAATGTATCTTCTGTTTTTTTGTGCGTTTGGATTCTTTTCGCCTTCACGCCAAATGCCCTGCCGCTGGGAGTTTTCGTTGTGATTTCGTTCGATTACGTGGTGACTGTTCCCACTGTCGACAACTTGTGGCGAACAAATCTGGCCACCTGGCGATTTTTGTTTTATTTTCTTGGTGGCGAGGCTCGTCACGCGCAAGTGCCAGACGGAAGAGAAATCTGACGTGGCACCTGCCTAGCCACACTCGCGACATGATTCTGATTTTTGATTTCGTCAAGCACTGGCAAAACCCCCGAGCTCGCCACTGGATGCTTTACGCATTACATACTCGCATTCCGAAGTTACAGTACCAGTAATTCCTGTTAAAATAACATCATTTTGCGAATTTCAGTGTCACGGGGCAATTTCTGGCCGAAAAAAAAGGCTTCTTCAGAGCTGCAAAAACGTGGTTGTTTCAGCCTTACTCTCCGAGCATCTTCTCTGTCTTCCTCATATCCTAATCTCACGTCTTGTTTTATTCCAGCACCTAGTGAGTATAGGCAGCACTTGGTTAGGCAGCAATGCGTCAGATGCTGCCGCTTTTTTGCTCCCAACTGTACGATAGATTGCTCTAGCTCTGTAGACATAGTGGCTTACCTACCTTTCCATGCAGTCATATCATAAACTTTTCTCTGTATTTCTTCTCTCAAAATTTTAAGTAGAGGAAAAGTAAGTGGTCGATTTCAGCTTAGATACAGGATACGCATTCCAACCCCTCCACTCACACACTTTTCCTTTTTTCCGCTCGATTCCTTCCCCTTCCTTTTCATCGAGCTCTTACATTGTTTCCCTATTTCCATCCTAAATTCGCATCTTGGAAACGCAGTAAGCACAAGCCATTTTCCTTTCTTTTTCCTCTCCTATCACCTCTCTCTCTCTTCCATCCACGTCACCTCTTTTGTTTTCAATTCTTCGTTTTTCTCCCTTGTCCGTTCCATTCAATCCTTGTGTCACCTTCACTTTCGTTTCCTATCTCGCTTACACGTTCCGTTCAATCTCTGTCCCGTGAATGTGCTACTAAACGTGCATGGGAAAGTTACATGAGAAATTGAGAGTGCATTCCTTGGTAAGTTCTCTCTCTCCATCTCTCTTTATTCCTCCTGTTCCTATTCTTCATTATTTACTTTATCACTTCGATGTTCTGCCCTATTCATTTTTCTGACTTTCTACCTTTCAAATTTCCTTCTTTCTCTCCCTCCACCCTCCCATCGTTTCTTTTTTCATGACTGACTTCCTTCCTTCCTTCCTTCCCTACTGATTTCTTTCCATCTTGCATCCCTTCTTTTCTGCCTATGTTCTTGTTTCTTTTGGTATATTCTTTTCGTTTAATTTATTCCTTCTTTCTCTCTTGTCTTCAGTTGTCTGTTAATTTGTTGGTTTGATTCCATTTCGATTTATCTGTATTGAATTCTCCTTGTTACTTTACGTAATTGGTTCTTCTACGTGTTTCTAAATCACTATGTCTTGTACTTCCTTACTCGCCATTGCTCATACAATTCGTGTTTCATACGTGCCCATTTGTGTACGGATGGCCTTTTATGTTTGGCTCTTGTGACACATGCTTTATTGCCCTTTTCCTCTCACAATCACACTTGGGTTCACTTCACATGCTCATTCGTTAGCGCCCTAGCTCCTAATTATTCACTGCATTCCATATACAACGCCTGACATACCATCCACATTCGTCCATTTTGATTTTATGCAGGTTTCCTTGTAAATGAGTTTCAGAGCTCCCTACAGCATTTAGCAGCAACTCGCGGGGATGTTGTTCAATCATCTCATTTTCAGCTTTATATTCTTATAATTGCTTGCGTCTTGCGTTTGATTTTGATGGGTCTTCCTGTTGTTCACTCTCATTTTCGATCCACCATTCATTTTATCAGCAATGTATGTCTGTGTTTTTCAAAAAAAAAAAAAAAAAAACTCTGCTTATCAAATCACTAAGGTTCACAGACGAGCTCTTCGAGTTTCTGTCTCTTGAACTGGATTTGATTGGTTTGGTTCTTTTTTTGGATCTCACAGATTGCGTTGCTCCATGTCACAGTTAATCATTCAGGCATTAGGCTTGCTGACTTTCCCCCCATGCTAGAGCTAGGGAAGCGGTATCCTAGAGTTTGAGTTTTTCACTGTGTCGCATAAATCATCAATTTTGTTTTCGATGCATGTCATGAATCGTGAGTCGTGACATGAAAAAATATTGCAGGACTCGATTGGATCCGTCCCGTTCACAACAACGCGATGCAATCAAGCATGGCGCACGAAAGATCAGCCAACTATGAATTAGATAACAGTGCATATATTATTCGAAGACATATGCTTAGGGATGAGCAAACTACCCGACCGGGTCGGGTACCCGGTACCCGGACCCGCTTTTAGGGCGGGTCGGGTATCGGAAATCCTGAGTAATACCCGGCGGGTCGGGTCCGGGTTTACCCGGGCGGGTATTCGATACCCGCTACCCGAAGTTCTACCCGACGACGCGGGTATCGGGTACCCGCCGGGTCGGGTATTACATGCCCGAGTTCGGGTAAATACCCGAAGTCGGGTCGGGTAGACCCGACCCGCAATCGGGTCGCGCTGCTACCCGTCGGCAGCAGCGCGATCAAAATTGGGGAGGTTGGAAATTTCGACCATTTGGTCGAAATTTCTTCCCCAAGTTTGCAGATCTAGTTTCGTATGGTCCCTACCATAGTTGCGCCACCTAACTACAGCACCCGCATTAGTAAAAAAACTCCCCGCACTCTAAATCGTTTTCCCCCGACATTACGTAGGGCGATTTTACAGTACGGAGGAGAGGACTTGGTAGCGCGTGGGGGTTAGGGTTTTGGAGATCTGAAGTTACACGACCAATTCGCCCACTTGAAATCCTTGACGTAACACATAGTTTAAGGTTCGGAACTGTGACATCATGCAGTTCTATGACCGTGACGGGCGTCCTGTCCTTTTTGGGGGCGGGAGGGTCGAGGGTGGCGGGCTCCAGAGCGGTGCCATGCCTGGAGCATCTCTGACAGGCCTCCCTCTCCCTAGCGGCCGCCAGAGTTTTGCATTGGCGAGCGATGTCCGTGCGAACGAGGTGGGAGAGGATGATGACTTCCTGGAAGAGGTGGAGGCGGGCGATGCAGGAGGGGTGGAGGTTGGGGCAACCCATGGGGGGGGGAACGGTGGGCAAGGTGGTGGACGGGGGGGGGGAGGCGAGGGTGACCAGGAGTGGCATCCCAATGCGGAGGAAGAGGGGGATGAGGTGTCAGGAGATGGACCGGCAAAGGGGAGGGGGAGGGGGAGGGGGAGGGGGAGGGGGAGGGCGAGGGGGAGGGCGAGGGGAAGGGGAGGGGGAGGGGAAGAGGTCGCGGCCGTGGTGGACCTGGTGGGGGGAGGGCAGGGGCGATTGGTGCCGGCAGTGGCACTAATTGTGCGGGGGGAGTGGAGGTCGGTGGTGGGGATGCAGAGTGCTTTGGGGATGCTGAGAGTGCCATGCCATGATGGTGCCATGCCATGCCATGCCATGCCATGCCATGCCATGCCATGATGGTGCCATGCCATGCCATGCCATGCCATGCCATGCCATGATGGTGCCATGATGGTGCCATGCCATGCCATGCCATGCCATGCCATGCCCATACCTTGTCGTGCCATGCCACGGACTTGCCCCCTTCAGGTGTCTGGCACACATCCTGAACCTCGCGGTCCAGAAGGCACTTGGTGTCCCAGCAATCCTCGAGCCGCTCAAGCATATGCGGGAGATTGCGTCGTTCATTGGGTGGAGCACGACGCGCTCGGACGCGTTCGAGGACGAGCAGCTGCGGCTGGCGGGTCAGGGCGGCCACGTTCTGCGCCTCGTCAGCGACACCCCCACGCGGTGGGGGTCGTGCTTTGAGATGGTGGAGCGCTTCCTGAAGCTGAAAGATCCTATTCTGCTGTACTTCTCAGGACTCGAGGTGGGGTTCCCAAACTCTTGCTTTGCCATCATTCGCGCGCGTTCGTTTCCTCATTGCATTGCTGACTGTCTCCCAAGTTCGCCCATGCGTATTACACTCCCCAAACATCATTTCCCCCCTCCGCGACGTTGTGTTCCTCGAAATCCCCCATTCCACAGTCGGCGCGCGACAAGCGGACGCGAGAACAGGCTGCGCGTGTCCGCCTCGCAGACGCGCACTGGGACGCTCTGAGGGTTCTGGTGGAATTCCTCAAGCCCTTCCATGACATCACTACTACGGCAGAGGGGTCGTTGTACCCCACTGCCGCAGCAGTGGTGCCGCAGTACAACCTGCTCATGGACGAGCTTGAGCGTCTCTACCACGACCCCAGTGCCGGGGAGCTGTGCAAGCTGTTGTCGGAGGCAGCTCTAAAGGTACTGAAGAAGTATGTGTACGGCATCAGTATGGAGCTGGCAGTGGCGACATTCTTGGACCCCAGGTTCAAGCACCTCTACTTCCAGCTCGAGCGGTGGGAGGGGGCCCACCTTGAGCTAGCGGGAGAGGCCGCTGGGGGGCGTAGGGCAGTGCGCGACGTCACATTGGAGCAGGTGGTGACATGGGTCACGGCGCGCTTGCAGTCTTACCTGGACGAGCAGAGCAGGCGTGCGGTGGACGGGGGCCAGGAGGGGACGAGCACAGGGGGAGCGCGGGTCGGGGGGGGCGGGGGGGTGGCCAGGGCCCGAGGTGGGGGGCGCTTGTTTGACATGCTCGGCTCGGCGATGGCAGAGGTGGAGGCGAGAACGGGAGTGGCCGCGCCGGACGAGGTTCAGAGGTACCTGCAGGAGGCGCGCTTGGACATGGACGGGTGTCCGCTCGCTTGGTGGCACGCGCGCTCGTCGTACCCGGGGTTGCAGGCGATGGCACGAGACTACCTTGCCATCCCTGCAACCTCGGCCCCGAGCGAGCGGGCGTTCAGCCAGGGGCGGAACGTGGTCACCTGGCAGCGTCACTGCCTGAGCACTGCTCAGGTGCGTGCATCCATGACTCTCAAGTCATGGATGGCACAGCGCGCCGACGGCAGCCTCCCACTGGCGACGCTGGATCGAGCCATGGGGGGGCTGTGCCTTGAGGGTGATGATGAGGGGTTGTGAGGCGTGGGTGTAAGGTTAGCTCTATGGGCAGTTTTTCGTATGACGTACATTTCGTCCTTGCTTATGCCATGCCCGGACCCAGCATTGAGCTCTAGGGCCATGCAGACATGGCATCATGCTTGTCAAATGATTGTGAACAGACGCAGAGTGAATTGCGTGCATTTTATTCATAGTACGTATACTTTCATACCACGAATACGAAACCCGAACAAGTTACACAAGTAAGGAGTATCGTGGTGTTGGCAACAAACCCGCATAAATGCGTGGAAATATTTTTCTCAAAACCATATTGCTGTCTCAACCCTAGGAGACAGTTACATGAACAATAATGAACATGTTGTGTTTAAAAAACACCTCGTATAGTCCTTCTTGAATGGGCGGGTAGCATTACCCGCTTTTAAACTATGTCGGGTCGGGTATACCCGGACCCGTCAGGCGGGTATTAAAATACCCGCCACATGAAAACCGGGTCCGGGTATTGGTCCGGCATGTAATACCCGACCCGTACCCGACCCGAAATTACCCGACCCGAGGTCGGGTATAGCAAAACCGGGTCGGGTCGGGTAATTACCCGGTTTTGCTCAAGCCTACATATGCTTATTAAGAACACTAACATGTTATTACTGTAACAGGAAACCAACAGACTATGTAGGTCATATTTTACTATCCACACGTTTTTTTTCCAAATAAATGAGTGAAAAAAAAATCGGCAAAATCGATCGCAATAGGTTGCTCCGCAACCCAAAAAAATCGAAGTAATAGACTTCTGGTTTGAGTTTGATTGCTTTGAGTTTGACTTACGTTACGCAGTTAACTGCTGGTTTGAGATGCCTCGTAAGCTGCCCGTGGGAGAAGCAGCTGGTGCCCAGCACTCTGGTGCTGGGTTCTTCGTGAACAGGAGAGATGAGAACAATTGCAACCAACCACTGCCATTGCCATGGCGTCGCACTCGGGCCTCGGCCCTGCAGCCCACTGGCTGGGCCCCGTACAGGGGCATGGCCCCTGCCTGCTCTGAGTGCCTGGGGTCATGCGCCCAACCCCTGCTCCTAACCCCTACCTAGGCATGAGCACGGGGCGAGGCGAGGATTCCTTGACCCGAGGATCTCATCCTCGCGCCATAGCCGGGGCGGATCGAGGAATCCTCGCCGAGGATTTTTCTTGAAAATCCCCCCTCGACCCCCGGGTTTTGGGGTCAAGGATTGAAATCCTCGCCTCGAGGATTAATTCCTTGACCCGGGGCGAGGATTCCTTGACCTGGGCGGCTGGGGGTTTAGGGGGGGGGGGGGGGGGGGGGAATGGGAACATGTGCGGGAAGAATGAGCCTTATCCAGGTTTTCCTCGCGAGGATACAAAATCCTCGCCCATTTGCCTCGAGGAAAAGTCGAGGCCTCGAATCCTCGCCGGGGCGGGGCGAGGATTCCTCGCAAGGATTTTTCCCAGAAATCCCGCCTCGACCCCCGGAATTTCGAGGCGAGGATTTCCGAGGCGAGGAAATCCTCGCCTCGTTGCTCATGCCTACCCCTACCCGTTACCCATCACCCTTCACCTTCCACCCGTCATCCCCCCCTGACCTTGCTGCTGAAGGAGTCGTGCTCGGGCCAGACGCCGCTGTCCGCCACGCCGATCACCACGTCCTCCCCTGCGGACTGTGCGCCGCCGATGGTGGCCCACGTCGTGGTGGGAAGGCGCAGGAAGCGCGCCGACGCCGTGGTCTGCGGGTACAGCAGCCCGTCGCCCGGCTGCACTGCCGCCACTGCGGGGTGGCGCGAGAGGCGCCACACTTGCAGGGGCGTGAGGAGGGCCGCAAAGGCGTGGCTGGAGAACTTGAAACTGCAGGGCGGGGAGGGGTGGGTGGGAGGGGGTATGGAGGGGTAAGTGCAAAGGTGGTTGGGAAGGTGGAGACACGGGGATTCAAGGCTAATAGATGGCTAGGGAAGGCAGAAGAGGTTTACAGGGAAACCGGCAGGTTCTAAGAAATTTGAAAGAGACATGGGAAGGAGTGGATGGGAAGGTGGTAGGTGGGGCGTGGTGGGGTTGATTGGGGAGAACAAGAACGAAAGGGGTGTAGAATAAGGAGGGGGCAAAGAGAGTTGTGGCCAAGGAAGATGGAAAAGAAAGGTTGGCTGACGTAACACAAGTCCATGCACAGGGGGGCACATGCCGTTGGATGTGTACACATATGCACACGCACACCGCGCGTTGTGCAATCCTATGCATGCACTCCAAGCACGGAGCCCAGCCCCGTCCATGGGCAGCACTCACTGGTGCACGAGGCTGTCCTCCGACACGCCCGTCTCTGCCGCCACGGCCCGCTGCTGCTGCTGCAGGAACCGCGCGAACTGCTGCACGTGCTCCGCCCCCACGTCCACCTTCCCCCGCCTCCGCTGCTCCCGCCACTCATGCCGCCGCCGCTGCTGCTCATGCTGCTCATGCTGCTCACGGTGCTGTCCGCCCTCTGGATCTGCCACTGCTGCAGCGGAGAAGGCAGGGGAGGATGATGAGTTGGAGTGTGTGGGAGAAGGCGAAGATGTGGAGGCGGTAGGGGAAGACACGGTGGCGGTAAAGCCCCCAGTGGAGTTGCGAGCGCCAGTGGCGGTGAAAGCCCCAGTGGCGGTGTCAGGGTGTTGGGCTGTGCTGTGACTGGGTAAGTCTGTGCTGCCCTTGCTCGCTGGACCTGCAGACGCCGCGGTGGCTGGATACCCGTTGATTCCTCCTCGGTACGATCCGACGGCCGGTGCAGAGCGAAGCCTCACGATGTGGAGAGACGCCTTGAAGGGGTGGGGGACTGCAAGAGGGGGCGACGAGGGAAAATGGGGGAGAAGGAGGGGTGTGAGGGAAGGGGGAGAAAGTGAGGGCGGGGCGGTGGGAGAATGGACGGAGGGGGACAGTGGTGGAGGGGAAGACAGGAGCGGCAGTCACAACCAGAGAGAATTCTATTGCCGTTGAGCCTCGGTCTAGAGCCTCTGTCTCCTGCCACCGTCATCAACGCCCAAGTCGCGCCCTAATCACCCCCTCACCGCTCCCTGCCCGCGATGCCATCCTTCTGCCCACCCTCCTCCCACCCTCCTCCCACCCTCCTCCCACTCTCCTCCCACCCTCCTCCCACCCTCCTCCCACTCTCCTCCCACGCTCCTCCCACCCTCCTCCCACGCTCCGCCGCATCAAGCGGTTCCGGGGATTGAGAGGGCAGCCCTACTCTCCCCACCCTCTTCTCGCAACGCGCGCCATGCGACACTCTTGGCGCACCGCTGTTCATACTAGCCTCGCGAAGCGAAGACGAGGGGGGGCGCGAGAATTAAACCATACTTTTGGCGGAGGCCGGTGGCGGGCGGAGGACGAGCAGGAGGAGCAGCAGCGGGAGCGGCGAGAGCGCCGAGTTCGGTGACATTGCTGGGGGGGGCGGATGGGCGGAGAGAGGAATAGCGCGCGGAGAGGCAGAGGGAAGGGCGGTGCTAGGCGCGCGCGGGGTAACATGTGGGCGCGGGAGAGGATGATAGTGACTTGCAGGTGCCTGTGCGGACGAGCGGAGGGCGGCAGAGAGGGCGTTCCACCATGGGGAGACGAAGAAACGGAAGAAACGGAAGAAACGGAAGAAACGGAAGAAACAAAAGAAACGAAACGACAGTGGCTGATACTTGCGCGATGCTAGCTATGTCAGCTGTAGTCGCGTCATTTGCGGCGTCGCACGAGCGAGAGGTGCAGGAGTATTCACGTAGTAGCAGTCGCGAAGCGGAACTATTTTAGACGCGGATTAGTGGAAACAGTCTCGATAGGTGTATACGCTACCATTAGTCGGGCGCCTGTACGATATGCTGCTCTATACAGTGCACGCAGCTGCTTTGCACTTGTGGGATGTACTGGTCTCTGCGTCCTGGTGCTGTGCTGTTGCTGTATGGTTTGGGCGCAAAGCCGCGCTGGAAGTTGGGTAGGTGGTGGTGGCGGTGGTGGTGTAGAAAGAAACCCCTTGGATATTCCTTGCTTTGGAAATTGGGACTGGTTGGTTTAGGGGTGTCAGCTAGCAATATTGCGGTGGAGGGAGATGCTCTCTGAGTCAGAAGGATCCAATAGCAATATAAAACGGTAGCGTAGGGTTTAGAGCAAGTAATGTACGTCTGGGACACAGCCTTGCCGTGGATGGCTTGAGCTGTGGCGGCAAATTGCGCCAATGGAGGGGATAGGCCCAAGGCAGGTCGCTTCAACGAACGGCGAGTACTACAAGCCGCTGGAAGATCATGCAATGACAGCCGTCGATCTATTTGAACCAGAAATTGGAGGGGCAGTGTTTTGTAGGGAGGAGGTGTCTTTGTTATGGTCGCGGCGCGTAAAGTGGTGGTTGTTGAAGGACGTGCATAGCGGTGGTACACTAAACACGGAGTCACTGTTGGAATGTGGTGCGTCGGGCTCGTTTGCTTGCAAACCAGCAAGAACCCGCGTGCGAACTGGCTGTCCGCCCACAAGTTACTCAAAGTCGGCGTAACCAAGCTTCTTGCACGACAAGGATTGGGTGTTCTGGCATGGTGTCGGACCCCGGGGGTCGAAGATTTCCAGCGAAGCCGGAGGGTATTTTCCTGAAAGAGGTTCGGCTCAAATTAAAGCCCACCGAACAGGGGGGTTTGGTATTTCGGTTTTTTTGCCACGGAAGAAACGCAACACATTCCTCTACAGGCAAAAGTCCCCTTCTGGCACAGCCAATCGAAAAGTAGCTCCTCAGCAATTTTTCAAGCAGCTGGATCTAAGCCTTGGACAACCTGTCCTTCAAAAATACGCCCTCACAACGGGCACATTCGTTGACAAACGCCCATCTGACAATACCCACTGGGTTGGGGAAAAAGCAGTAATCTGCCCACAAAATCAGCCATCTGCCTTGCGAGTAACAATCTTGCAGTATTTTCAACTTATTCATTTATTTTCGTGAGAACCCCCGTTTGCTTCTCCAAAGGAACCGTTTCGGGAAATAAAAACGAGCAGCAAATCATCCCAACGGGCACCGACAAATCTGGTTCCCGAAATCTCTCTGTCTCCTCACCATCCCGTAAATTCAGTCGAAACTAACACAAAACCCTAGCTTGTGCGTCAGCTTCGGGATATTTGGTAACTACCGAACGGATTCTTGAAGGTGCAAAAAGCACCACCGAACACGGCAAATAGTAGGGTCCTCCTGTACAGTGTTCAACTCCCATCGGAAACTTGAACCGCACAGCACCGCATTCGTCTGGAGAACAAGGGCAAGTCTGTTATGATATAGGAAGTGTCCATGAATAACAATGTAAAATACAAGGTCACTATTACAATGAAGGCACGAGGTTATACATGGGTTGGCGTGCTAGGGCGATAACCTCGGAACGTGGGTAGGTCCGGCGTATCAGAATAACAGAAATGACTAGAATGGGAGGATACACGGCAATATAGACTAGAGTGTTGTACCCTATAAGGCACAAACCTGTATAGTCTACAGTAACGACCTAAATTATATTTGACACACCCTCTAGACTATATAGGGGCAGTGTCTAAGAAGAGAATAAGCAGCTCAAGGCGGCACTACTAGTCCAGCCTCTCAGACAATGGTCTAAAGAACAGTCAAAAAGGAGTACAGACAAGACAAGAGCAAGTCCAGGACGGCACTGCTAGTCCAACCACTGGGGAGAGGCCACAAGGCCAGTAAGGGTAATATATAGGAAGGTCTGTACACAATCAGGGCCCTAGCAAATGAGAGGCTATAGGAACAAGACCAAGCTGTACATAGTGCCGCTTATGATCGTTAGGCGCAAGTGCCTTCGTAAAGATATCAATTGTCTTAGCACCGGAGGCCAAGTGTACTACACGAGCCTGGCGGCGCTGCTGTAACTTACGCAGGAGGAAGTACCGAAGCTGGATGTGCTCCGCTCTGCCCTCGGATCGCGGCTCCTGACACAGGAGGATCATGGCCCTGTTGTCAGCATACAGGACCGGGGCAGAGCTAGGCCGCTCACCTAATTCAGTGAGCAAGAAGGTCAGCCAGCGGAGTTCCTGTGCCGCCATGGCACCGGCGTAGATCTCGGCAACAGACGAGGAGCGAGTAGCTCTCCTCGAGACAGCACCTGAACCAATGCTAAAGCAGTAGACCTGCAAGGACCTAAGAGTCTCGGTGTCGTCTGCCCACGAAGCGTCTGTGTGCCCAGTAAGGACCACTGCCCTGCGCCCTCCTAGTACTAACCTCATGCCCGATGTACTTGCAAGATAACGCAAAAAACCTCTTAGCGGCCAACCAGTGCTGAGGTCGGTGTCGGCCTGTGGCCACAAAGCGAGCCGAGATGCTGAGAGGGTATGCGAGATCTGGACGAGTGCAAGTCATCAGGTACATGAGGCAACCCACCTGCTCTGCGTAAGGGCCACTAGGCTCTACCGACTCCTCACGAACTGGAGCAGAGAGCCGGTGGTCTACAGACAGAGGAGTGGGCTGTGCAGAGGAGAAGTGAAGGCCGAACCTCTGAAGGACCTGGTGCACCAAGTGTGATTGGGTGAGGGTGATGGTGCGCACCGCACTGTCCCTGGAGATCTGCAAGCCAAAGTAATGGCGCAGTTCTCCAAGGTCAGAGTAAGTGTGTCTCTCCAGCAGCTCTGCCTTCACTGAGGCCAACGTCCCTGTCTGCAGTGGCAAAGTCCACGTCGTCTACGTAAACAAGGATGTAGAACGGAGTCTGGTCAGAACGAACGAAGAGCGAGGGGTCTGCAGAGGACGAAAATAACTGCAGGTCAGCAAGGGTAGCACGTAGCGTGTCGTGCTACTCACGAGGAGCCTGTCGCAGGTCGTAGAAGCCACTGGGTCCCAGGAGGGAAGGTATTAGTGAAACCCTGAGGGCGGCGCAGGTAGACCTGCTCGTGTAGACTGCCCTGAAGAAACGCAGTAGAGAAGTCGAGGGAGTGAAGCTCGTAGTCACGCTAAGCTGCCAGGTGTAGCACCACCCAAAGAGTATCTTCGGGGTCGAAGCGAAGGTCTGAAAGAAATCCACCCCCTCACGCTGACTGACCCCTCTAGCCACGTAGCGCGCCTTGAACACAGGCGGCTCTCCAGGAGGGCGCGTCACCTTGAAGAGCCAACGGCCATCGACTACGTTCACCCCAGGTGGAGGAACTACGTCGACGTAGGTGCCGGTAGATGTCCAAGATGCCATCTCCTGCTCCATGGCAGCTAACCACTGAGAGGCCCAGGGTCCCGAGACCGCCTCAACGTAAGTGTGAGGGGTCGGGATGTCGAAAGCGTCGGGGTCACCCTCAGGGACTAGAAGCCTGGAACAGAGATGGGGAGCAGCCTCGGACAGGAAAGCAAGCTTGTACTGGCGGTCCTCCAGGACGTCACTGCCGAGGGCAGGAGCACCCCCGACAGACGGAGGACAGGCAGGGTCAGAGACCAGAGCGGTGGCGCTGGTAGAGGCAAAGTCAGCGACCGCAGCGACAAGAGCGTCAAGACACGAGACCGGAACAGACGAGAGAGGCAAGGACCCGAGGAACAAGGGGACGAGCGGCGCGAAGGTCGTCAGACTGGGGGGGAGGCGCAACAACAAGGGAGGACGGAGGAGGCGACAGTAGGAAGGGGGGACGAGATGCGTGGGAATAAAGCAACATAGGGTGAGAGCGCGGGACAGGGGGGACGAGGCGAGCACGGGAGGGACGGCGAGACCAGTTATGAGACGGAGGAGTCGGGTCAGGAGACAGATAAGGGGACACAAGAGGGAAACGAGGGGGGAGATGAGCCGGAGACGAGTCCGAGGGAGGGAACACAGGGCCGTAGACAGGAAGAGGAGGAGGCACAGACGCACGGTCAGGGGACGGAAGGCCGAGAAGGCGAAGAGCCGACACCGGCGAGGACTGTTGCTGCGGCGGGACGACACCGATACCAGGACCGCAAGCTGCTCGACGGCTACCTCCGGAACACACCACTCCAGCACCCCCAGAAGGAACACCCCCAGAGCACAGAACCCCTCGAGCACCGGTACCATCCCCAGGCCCGCCGGGACAGGCCACGACAGGAGTCCCAGGACGAGTACCCACCCCAACTCCAGCACCCCCAGAGTCAACGAACTGCTGCTGCGACGGCTGCGGCGACGATTACGGCGGTGGTGGCTGCAACGACGGCTGCGGCGGCGGCGACAACGGTGGCGACGGCGGCTGTGGAGGCGGCGGAGGAGGAGACACCTGGGGAGGGGCAGGCGGCAAGGACTGCACCGCAAGACCACCAGAGTCAGCAGACTCCTCGACCGGGATAACCGACGTAAGGGGGGTGACGTGGGACACACCAGACGGGGCAGGACAGGGAGGGGGAGGGGGACGGGCAGGGACCACCAGGGAAGGGGTGACCAGGAACAGGGGGGGGGTAACCGGGGGACCTCGGTGGGGGAAGCGGTGGTAGAAGGAGACGGACTCGTCAAATGTGACGTCGCGGGAGTGAAAGAACCGGTAAGACGGCGGGTGGTAGAAGTGCCAGTCGGACGCGTCAAGGGGGAAACCGAGGAAGACACAGGGAAGGGTGCGGGCAGTGAGCTTGTCCGTGCCGGAGGCACGAACGTGAGCAAGGCAACACCAGACATGAAACGCACACGCGTCACCAGGAGACCCGGACCAAAGAAGGGTCAGCGAAACCTGTGGCTGCTGGGGGTGCGGCCACAGGTTAAGCTGGTGAGCAGTGTAGCGAACGGCGAACGACCACAAAAATGGGGTGCACTAGCATGGATCATGGAGGTACGAGCCACCTCCATGACCAAACCGATGCGTCGCTCAGCGACCCCATTCTGCTGCGGGTAGTCCGGCAAGGTGAACGTCTTGGTGATGCCCTCCGCATGACAGAAACGACCAAGGACACCAGAGGCAAACTCGCCACCACGGTCGGAGTGGAGACGCAAGACAGGGAGACCGCGGTGGACACGCGCAGAGACAAGCCTCGGGATGAGAACGTCAGGCACGTCGGCCTTCCGCTGTAGGGGAAACACCG